ATCTCTGCAGACGCTCAAAGATTGTTGAAAAGAAAGACCCATTTAAGGGTGATCTTTTAGAGCAAACCTACAAAGTATCCAAGCTATTGTAGGAATGTATTTAAGTCATGGTGAGTTCACTAAATTTCTTAAGGTTTTTGGCCCTGTTCAAAGATGAGGGTCCATGACAATAAGAGGAAATTTGATAGGCTTTGGGGCTTTATAGAGATACATACGCTCACAGCCCCAATATTTTCTTTGAAAACTGTGGCATTCAACTATATGTAAATAGGTTTTTCTTGTTCAGAGAAGATTTAATCTGGCAGGAATCACCATGGTACAATCTGGGCTTACACTTGCTCAGATACAACAAAATATTTGGGAAAGCAGGTCTTTTACAACCGCATTACAGAGGTTTCTTAAGTGTTATAAATGAAGTCTATCCAGGAATTCTGGAAATTCTTGAAGTGGGCTTAGATAATTTAAGGAACAAATTTGGAGAAGAGTGGGATGATGATGATGATGATGATGATGATGATGATGATTATTATTATTATAACAAAAAATGACAGTATACACAGCAAACGAGATAACCATGCTGGGTTTCGTATCACAAATCACTAGTCGAACACTTCCCAAGCGTTTAGGACTGCGTGATGTATCGGCAGATTATGCGAGCAGATCCAAGTAAGGTGGCCTTCTACAGCTAACCAATGGTGATCTTGTCAGTGCCAATTGTTTTTAAGTGTTTGCCTAGGTCTTTAGGCACAGCACCCAGTGTGCCGAGTACCACTGGGACCACCTGCACTGGTTTATGCCAGAGTCTCTGCAGTTCTATTCTCAAATCCTGATATCTGGGGACTTTTTCAAGTTGTTTCTCGTCGATTCTGCTGTCACCAGGTATGGCAATGTTGACGATCCACACTTTTTTCTTCTTCACAATTGTGATATCCGGGGTATTGTGTTCTAAAACTTTGTCAGTCTGTATTCAGAAGTCCCACAGCAGTTTTGCATGCTCATTTTCGACCACTTTTTCAGGCTTATGATCCCACCAGTTCTTTGCTACAGGCAGATGGTAGTTGTGACACAAGTTCCAGTGAACCATCTGAGCGACTGTGTTGTGACGTTGTTTGTAGTCAGTCTGAGCTATTGTCTTGCAACAGCTCAGTATGTGGTCAATGGTTTCATTCGCTTCTTTGCAGAGTCTGCATTTGGGGTCATCAGCAGATTTTTCTGTTCTGGCTTTGATTACATTTGTTCTGATGGCTTGTTCTTGGGCTGCAAGAATCAGACCTTCTGTCTCTTTCTTCAATGTTCCGTTGGTCAGCCATAACCAGGTCTTTTCCTTATCTACTTTTCCTTGGATCTTTTCAAGGAACTGCCCATGCAGTGCTTTATTACACCAGCTGTCAGCCCGAGTTTGCATAACTGTTTTCCTATATTGATTCTTGGTTTGCTGCACTTTGAGCAGCTTCCTTTTGTTGACCTCCATCAAAGCTGGTTCAACACTGTCTTTCACATAGTCTGCCAGAGCATGCTTCTCTTCTTCAACTGTCTGCTTCACTTGCAAAAGTCCTCTGCCTCCTGCTTTTCTGGGCAAATATAGCCTATCAACATCACTATGTGGGTACATAGTGTATGGTCACTATGCGGGTGCATAGTGTATGGTCATCAGTTTTCTTGTTTTCCTATCCAGGCTGTCCAGCTCTGCCTGTGTCCAGTTCACGATCCCAGCAGTATATCTGATGACGGGTATGGCCCAAGTATTTATAGCCTTGATAGTGTTACCGCCATTCAGTTTGCTTTTTAGAAGTTTCCTGACCCTTTGTGTGTATTCTTTGCTGACCACATTATTATTATTGTTGTTGTTGTTGTTGTTGTTGTTGTTGTTGTTGTTGTTGTTTTGGTGTCTTTGAGTCAGTGTGGTACAAGAAGTCATCAGGAGTCAAATCCCTGCAATTCTCTTGGCAAGATTCCGTATGTTGTTTGGCATTGCCTTGTTCCTAAGGCTGAGAGAGAGTGACTGGTCCAGGGTCCCCCATCTGCCTTTGGGTTCCTAATGAACTCATGGTCTGCCAGTTTCTAGCCTGATACCTTAACCACTACGCTAATTTGGCTTTCTGGAGAAGAGAGAAGAAACCTCTTGGAGAAGGTGAATAGTGCAAAATTGAATCTTTTGTTTGCATGTTAAGAATAGTAAATATGACCCTGATGAAAACATGCAATAACACTTGCTTAGACAAAAAGAATGAAATATTGTTTAAGTTCGGAGTAATGAGATTATATTCAGAAGTGACTCTAATAGACACTCTCCAGTTCCCTGGAGTAATAAGGGGAGGAAACACAGTACAATCAGACTTGCAAGATTCTGTTACTCTAAAGGTAAAGGTTCCCTTCACACATATGTGCTAGTTGTTCCCGACTCTAAGGGGCGGTGCTCATCTCCGTTTCAAAGCCGAAGAGCCAGGGCTGTCCAAAGATGTCACTGTGGCAATGTGGCTGGCATGACTAAACACCAAAGGCACACGGAACGCTGTTACCGTCAAAGGTGATCTGTAGTTTTCTACTTGCATTTTTTATGTGCTTTCGAACTGCTAGGTTGGCAGAAGCTGGGACAAGTAACGGGAGCTCACTAGGGATTCGAACTGCTGAACTGAACTGAACCTTTCGATCGACAAGCTCAGCACCTTAATCACTGAGCCACTGTGTTCCTTATTCTGTTACTATAGCCAATCTCAATAAAAGTATCTATGGAAATTCTCAGTCATCCAAGTCACGGTCGTCCCAAAGGTGCTTTTTTAAAGAGGCAACTGGACTTTCTGACTTTTCTTTGAAGACATTTCAGTTCTCATCCAAGACACTTCTTCAGCTCTGAAAGCTGAAGCTGAAGAGAGCTAAAGAAGCTTCTTGGATGTCTTCAAAGAAAAACCAGAAAGTCCAGTTGCCTCTTGAAAAAGCACCTTTGGGACTCAGTAAAAGCAATTTTAGTATCCCTGTAGAGTTGATTTCCTGGCCTGGTCTATCTAGTGGGGCTGACACTGCAGCACTTGAATAATGCCATATTCTCAATATTTACAAGGACATAGGTTAATGGGACCATGAAATGTGGTATATTTGCATCATATTGACAAGCATCTGAAGATATCAGTTATTTTTGGGTATAGTCAATGGATTTTCGGGTTTGGTGAATGTATCACCAATGAATGTATTGGTGAATGTATCACCAATGTATCACCATAGCTTAGGCCCGAGGTATTTGACGGATCACCTGCGGCCAGCAACTGCTCCCCATCGCCTCATGCACTCACATAGAGAGGGCCTACTTGGGGTCCCGTTGGCCAAAATTTTTTAAATTTGATTTATATGCCGCCCTTCTCCGAAGACTCAGGGTGGCTTACAATGCGTTAAGCAATAGCCTTCATACTTTTGTATATTTTATACAAAGTCAGCTTATTGCCCCCACAATCTGGGTCCTCATTTAACCTACCTTAGAAAGGATGGAAGGCTGAATCAACCTTGAGCCTGGTGAGATTTGAACTTGCAGTAATTGCAGGCAGCTGATGTTAATAACAGTGCTTTAGTCTGCTGCGCTACCAGGGCTCTTAATGTCTCAATGTCGGCTGACGGCCCCTAGGGAGTGAGCCTTCTCTGTGGGCGCACCTACCCTCTGGAATCAGCTCCCCTTGGAGCTCCTGGTAGCCCCCGACCTTCGCTCCTTCCGCCATGACCTTAAAACATGGCTGTTTCGCCAAGCTGGCCTGGACTGAATGGGGTTTTAATGGGAATTTTAGTTTTTATTGTTGAATTTTAATTGGACTTGTTGTTGTTTATTGTTTATTGCTGTGAGCCGCCCTGAGTCCTTGTGGAGAAAGGGCGGCTTATAAGTCCGATAATAATAAAAAAATGATTTATTGTTGCAGAAATTACATCAGGAAATCTTTTGTAGATTTAGGGTATTCTAGGCATTGACCAGAAATAAGAGCTGTGCCTTTGTTTCAAATGTTACGGCTCAGTTTGTGATTCATTAAAAATTCATAGACAACTATATATTTCATATAACCCACTGGATTTCTGGACTGAACTCATGAACACAACATTGGAGAAAACTTAAAAATTGTGCTGTGCTTCTGTATTACATGGTCACTATGCTGTACTTACTATTTTGACTGCTATTCAGGTTTTCCCCAGTGGAGGAATATAGAACATCTCTTATGAAATATTATTTAGGGATCAAACAGCATTAGGATAGATGGTCACCTATACTTTTACGGTTATTGACCATATTATGGAAATTACTGATATGGAAGAACAATGTTTTTGATATTGAACAAAAAGCAAGAAGTAAAAGGTTGGCATCGGGATGAAGATATTCATAGCTTCAATATAATTAAGCCTAAATGCTTACTTTCCCCAGCATTAGGAATACTAGTTTTTTCATGCACAGGAATGTGCTAGAGATAAGGAGGCAAAAGCCTTCAGCATGTAATTTATTGACTTTTCTAAAATAATAGTAATCCAAACCCCTATTGATCAACTGCTATTTTTTTTATAATATCATGAATTTATGGAAACTGAAGGAGCAAAAAACATTACAGGGATTTCCTCCCCCAAAATAGACCTTTAGATATATAGTAAAACCCAAAAAACATGCTTGCCTATCTACTTTTTTATTCAAATTTTTGAAGAAGTTAAATCCCACACTAGTTATTATTTAACAAAGAATGAGAAGGTCTATGTGTGGCTGTGTTTGGAATTGTATGTATAATTCCAATCAATACTGTAAAAGGACAAGTTGTGGAATTAGAAGCTCAACATGCTGACCTGCATAGGTATGTCCTCTCAGTAATATTGCTTATTTAGAAATTCAAATGTGAAGTGAGTTTTTGAAGTTCAGATTTTAGTTGAATTCATCTTACGATTTTTATCACATACGGTGACAAAACTCTTGACCTAATTAAGACTCCCGAGCATGTTTATCCCTAACTACTCCCTAACCATACAATCTATTCTGATCTTTTAAGGTGATCAATGCAAAAGAAGTGGTGAGCTCACAAACTCAGTGAAAACAGGGGGCAGAAAGCAAGGGACTGATAACATCCAGGTAAGCAACTTCCTTAGTATGACATGTTTGAGAATTTTTTATCTTCTTAGAAGGGATGATACCAGCAGCCAAACATGGTCTGCTCGGTGGTCACAGAATGTTATCTCAGAAATCTGATGGTCTCCATAAACATTGTTGTTTACCAAAAAGCTGTAACCATCTTTTCATATCAGGGTTAGATGAGGTTATCTTTGGGGTCTCTCTTTTGACTCCCCCCCCCAAATAAGCAGTTGGTTGATATATTTCAGTTTTAGATTAAATTTCTGGTTGTTTCCTTTCAGCTATTAGTGTTTCCCTGTCCTAATAAAGTTTGAAGCTCTTTTCTCTACATTTATCCACATTAATACTTCTTATCCTGTCATGCTATCTGAAGACTTTTAAGTTCTTTGTGGTTACTTTTGAACATCTCTGCTTTCCTGACCAAAGTTCACCCATATTGTTCTTGGTATTTTTGTTAATTATTGTTATTCACAGAGGTTGTGTTAGCTCCAGGGTAAACTCAAAATTACACATATGCAGTAAAAGTACACCTTTTGTCCAGAGGCATCTCCTCAACAAAGTGGAGAGATGTTTTGCATCCTTCTGAAATACTTTGGCATGTTGCAAGGATGGGGAGATTGTAATCGAACATGAACAGGACATTTCTTATAACATGCTAGGACTTGAAGAAGCCAAGGCTGTATATCTTGTTGTAATGGACTCAAGATAGACTTTTTATGAGCTTTCCTCTGCATTTCAGAGTCTCCAAAAATTGTCCATAGATTTGGTTCCAGAATGCTGCAAGAAGCTTCGACTACACTCCAAAAATGGTTGGAGCAATCCTGGCCTCAGGATAAAATCTATCTTCATACTGCCGTGGTTCTGACCTGTGGTTCAACTGCAGCTTATTTGGTACTGAAATGGTTAGGCCAGAAAAGAATTAAAAAACAAATAGAAGAAACAAGAAGGCAAAGGGATCATGGCTTGATAGAGATGGAAAAATCAGTGCAGACATTTAAAAGCCAGGTACATGTTTCCTAACTATTTCTTGTATAGTATAAGTACTTATTACTTGTATTACTTGTTCTTGTATAAGGACTTATTACAGTTACTTATTATATATAATGTTTATGTACGTGTGTATTTAAATGTATTTAGATATGATAATTTTTCCTGCAGATTTCATGAGTTTACAGGGAGTTGGAATAATAGGGCTAATGGATAAGATAGAATTTTAGTAAATAATTACGGATGAATATTTACTACATCCAAATTCTGATTTCTGCTATTTCCCTGTTGTTTGGCTCTTGTTATTAAGATTGGGTTTGGTCACTATCTCTCTTTTAAGTAAAACTGAAGGCTATTTCATGACTACACAAGGGTGAGAAGGACATCTGAAAATTTTCATGGGATAAACTTTACTTTTAAATACAACTTTAACCAAAAGGATTGCTATTGAATTAAGTGGCACCTTTGCTATCCACATTAAGGGTGAGATCCATCTGTGGTTTTCTACTGTCACAACTTACAGTTTATCATCTTAGTAGACACAAAATGAAAGTTTGGGTCAAGCAGAACACAAAAAAGTCTCAGATGATTTGCAGCAACTACATTCTATAGCAGAGGTGCAGAACCTGGATCTTTAAAGGTCAGACGAGACCCATGAAAACCTTGGAACAAAAATTACATGCAATGTAACTGTACCGTAACTGTAAAGGGATAAAAGGAGGAAAATGCATGTCTGTAAAATAAGCATCTACCTTGTAATAATTTTAATGCAATATCAGTGAAATTAGGTAATTAGCCCTGATGTCTATAGAGATTCTCAATCATGCAGGTCATTGTTGTCCCAAAGTACCAAATGTACTTTTCCAAAAGACAACTGGACTGTCTTGGGCTTTTTTTTCTTCTCATCCTTTTGCAAAGTGAAGAGGCTTCCTCAGTTTTTCAGTGTCCTGATCTGACCTGTTATTTTTATGGCTGCTGGCTTGCCAACAACAGCCAATTAATCTCTCTGCCACCTCTCAGACTTGCTCTATCAAATCTATGGGAAGCGTTATACTGTGCCCTCTCATTACAGAACCCTGGGTTACCAAGTGATGACATCCTTTCTCTACCTCTGGTAGAACTGGTTAAGAAGCTGAAAGAAGACACTTTGTCTCCAGATGTTGTCCTCTACACCTACATGGAAAAGGTGAACATACTTGGAAACACAAAACATAGATACAGAAATATTTTTTACATACAGTACATCAGTATGCCCAGCGGTAAAATTCAATTTTTTTTTACTACTGGTTCTGTGGGCGTGGCTTGGTGGGCATGGTGTGACTTGGTGGGCATGGTAAGGGAAGGATACTGCAAAATCCCCATTCCCACCCCAGTCCAGGGAAAGGAGACTACAAAATCCCCATTCACTCCCCACTCCTGGGGGAAGGATATTGCAAAATCTCCCGTCCCAGCCCATTCTGGGGCCAGCCAGAGGTGGTATTTACCAGTTCTCTGAACTACTCAAAATTTCCACTACCGGTTCTCCAGAACCTGCTGAATTTCACCCCTGAGTATGCCCATTTTATATATGCTACAGTCAGTGGTAGGATTCAAATAATTTAACAACTGGTTCTATGCCCTAATTATTTCTTCCAACAAGCAGTTTTTGGTTTTTTTTAAATTTGATTTATATGCCGCCCTTCTCCGGAGACTCAGAGCGGCTTACAATGCTTACAATGCGTTAAGCATTAGCCTTCATACTTTTGTATATTTATACAAAGTCAGCTTATTGCCCCCACAAACTGGGTCCTCAATTTACCTACCTTAGAAAGGATGGAAGGCTGAGTCAACTTTGAGCCTAGTGAGATTCAAACTTACAGTAATTGCAGACAGCTGGTGTTAATCACAATGCTATCAGTCTGCTGAGCCATCAGGCCCTTTATAGCAGTTCATCAAACTGCTCAGAAAGTTAACAACCGATTCTCCTGAAGTGGTGCGAACTGGCTGAATCTCACCACTGGCTACAGTGCATAAAACGTCACTTCAGCATGACAGAGGAAGAACCTCATGCTGGCGAGAGAAAACACTGTCTATGTTGCCCAATACTGGCAAATGTCATTTAGGTTTAATGCTATCTATTTTACATACTTTTTATGTGGGCTATTTCTTTCTGGCCTATTTTATACTTATTTTACCTGCTCAGTGTTGAGCATTGTATGTCTACGATTTGAAGATGCTCCTGAGAAAAATAAAGAAAAAGAAAAGTCTGCCCAGCAGCATTTAGCTACCCTTCAGTCTTTCTATCCTGTCTTTATTTTTTTTTAATCAAAATAATTTGAAATAATGAAAATGAAGGAAAAGCTGAAAGTTGATATAACAGATCAATCTCCCATATTCATTTGCAATTTACTACCTATTCAGTTTATAAAACTTCCTAATTGCAGATCACTCAAGGTGGCATGGGTTAGGATTAGGGTTATGGGACACGATGGCTCAGTGGCTAAGACGCTGAGGTGGTCCCTATTTTTCTACCTGCATTTTTACATGCTTTCGAACTGCTGTGTTGGCAGAATCTGGGACAAGTAATGGGAGCTCACTCTGTTACGCGGCACTAGGGATTTGAACCGCTGAACTGCCCACCTTTCGATCGATAAGCTCAGCATCTTAGCCACTGAGCCACCGTGTCCCTTTCACACATTGTACTAGAATTAGTCAAATATTGCTCCAGTTTTTCTTTTATTTTGTGTACATAATTTCCATAATTACATATTGCATATCTATATGCATGTGCAGTGCACATATGTGTATAGTTATATATTTATTTTCTTTTGAAAGTGAGCATCAGAATTTTCTTTTATGTATGCCAAATGCACGTCTGTTCATAGAAAAAAGTGACAATAAAAGTTATCTTAGTATTATATCTCAAAGTATAGCCTCTTTAATCTCTTGATAATTTACAATATTTTCTTAATAAAGCATAGTTTTGCCAGAACATTAATCCTTCTGTTAAAAAATGAATGTGTGTGTGTGTGTGTGTGTGTGTGTGTGTGTGTGTGTGTGTATGCATACATACATGCATGTATATGTTTATGTCTTGGAGGTAATATTTTTAAAAAATTACTTATTGAATATTTTTTCTACAGAATATAAACAACCCAAAAAATTTAGGGGGAAAAAAAAACCAGTAAAATGATATTTTTTCTAAAATGTGTTTGGAGGTCAGTCTGCACCACCTAGTGGGTTCGTGTTGTCATAGCATTTGTTCCTTCTCTATCTTCCTGTGAGGGTGGAGAGGAAATACTTGTGTCATTTTTTAATAAACCCTACAATAATGTTGATTGGAATGCGTGGTTTGTCTTTTACTATAAGAATAGTTTGGGGGCAAGACTGATCTTAGTAAAGCAATAGAAGATACTGAAAGTGAAACAGCAGACTTGGTAGATTTTTTTTTTCTGGGAATCATGGATCAGGAATAGGGAGTAATTAACAGAGGCAAACACATTGTTCCACTTCTAATTATTTTCCCTGACTTGTCTGTCTACTGTTTTCCTAAAAAGGCTTTAGCGGTCACCAAGGAGGTGAATTGTGTGCGCCATTTTATTCCAGAATGTGAGGCATTTCTTCAGCAACTGAAAAACCAGAAGGAAAAAGGTTTATTGTATGGGGTACCTGTCAGCATCAAAGACCACATTGCATACAAGGTGATTCCATTGCTGTGATACATTGGTTTTCTAGAAATTTATTTATTTATTTATTTATTTATTTATTATATTTCTATACCGCCTTTCTCCCGTAGGACTCAAGGCGGTGTACAGTCAAGAAAAATATAGACACACAAACATCATAAAATTGCTAATTAAAATTATTACTTAGTTTGGTCAATTAAATAAAACCCAGAATTAGATAACATTTAAAAAATCATTTACATGTTCGTATGTTTAGCCTGGAACATCAGGGTCTTGAGGGCACGGCGGAAAGCACGGAGATCAGGGATATCTCCGGGGGCAGTTTATTCCAAAGGGTTGGAGCCCCCACAGAGAAGGCCCTCCCCCTGGGAGTCGCCAGTCGACATAATTTGACTGACGGTACCCTGAGTAGTCCCTCCCTGTGAGAACGAACTGGTCGGTGGGAGGCTATTGGTGGCAAAAGACGGTCTCGTAGGTACCCAGGTCCTAAGCCATGGTGGACAAGAAGCAGCTTCTAAGGGAAGACCACTAGAAACCTTTCTAGGATATGTATTTGCTTATGGAATAGCCCTTTTATATTGATAAGGGATGGGAAACCGTGGCCTACTGGAAAAACAAGCCCGATAGTCCTATTTTTGCAACCTCCATCCAGATTGTATTGCCACATCTGATTGCTGATTGTTAAGTGCTACAATTTTTTCACTCTGAAGCCCAAACCTTCAGATTTAATTAGTTGAAAGCCTAAACTACCTTGAATATTTTATTTTATTTATTTACTGAAACAGAAACCTCAAGTGGTTGTTTTTTAAAAAGCGGGAATTTTTAAAAATCCTAGCAGAAGAGAAAAAGGAGGAGAGGAAAGGAGGAAAGACAGTAGCAGCTATTATTAGGTGTTAAGATAAATAGCTGATCTACACCTGTTTCCTTAATATTTCCTTTACCTTTAGGACCATTTGACAACATGTGGCTTTTCCCATTTTCTTGATTTGGAAGAAGACGACAGTGTGTTGGTCAAGGTATTAAAGAAACAGGGAGCAAATCCATTTGTATTCACCAATGTGCCACAATCTTTATTAAAGTAAGTTTTCATGTCAATAGTTTTTACTGATCACTGCTGTGTATTGATAAACTTTATCTCCTTATTGTGCAATTGTAAAAACATACACCTGTTTGTTATTTGTTCACAATTTTTCTTGGCTTGTATTAGTCATGGCTTGCTATATTTGAATAATTGGTAATGATTGCATTTATGGATGATGTCTCAGTCCCTGGCCTAGATCTAAGTCTTAACTAAAAGGGGTCCATATAATCAGGTGTTGATGGTAACTCTGTTGAACTCATTTTGGAGGCACAGCAAGAACCTGTAGGAACAGGTGTTTCTCAAGGCAGGGTGTCCTCCTCTCATCTTGAATACAGGAGAAAAGCACCCCAGTCCAGTGGAGAAAAGCCTTTAAGGAACTCTCAAGTACCAAATATCTATGGCCGGTTGTCATACGTACTGTATTCTTTTTCTTCAAAACTTGATGAAGAAAAAGTAACCCAGGCTGAAAATTTCTGTTGTATTCCTACCTTTTGCTTAGTAGATCAAGAAAATTTCCAGAATCACAGTGATCCTAAGAGATGTACCCATCATTACTACGTATCTATTGAAAGAATAAGCAGCCAGAACCCAGAAGCCTTTATATTTAGCCATGTTCAGCTGTCAGAACATGTTGAAGGAATGCTCTCTTTTAAGAGAGAGTCTTTTGGTAGAAATGGGTAAGAGCTGTCTGTTGCAATATTTTCAGGATCAGACTCAATAAAGATAATAGAAGTTAAGCTTTAAATATATTTCTTTTTAATTATGATAGGCATTCTATATTCACTGAATATTCAAGGTAGAAGCAACGAGAATGGTGAGGGTGGCTCCTTATATATACAAGGGGTGGAGCCAGGAATGGGAGTGGTAAGTTATGAATACATTAAAGTCCAAAGAATAAGTTAACCTCTGATGTTCTATATATACATTATTTACACATTGGAGAATAAGGCATTTACATCTGACAAATCCCCCTCTAAATGCCGGTTCGTTACACAACACCAATTACATTCTGATTCAGGACAATATAATACATATAATTTAGAAGTTAAATATTTGTGTTGTTTAGAAGGTAAGGGTTTTGTTAATATGTCAGCTAATTGTTCAGAAGTATCGCAATGTATTGCTTTAATGAATCCGTCTTGAGACAGTTGTCTCACATGCTTAAATTTTATATCAATATGCCTGGACCTTTGTCCAATTGCATCGGATCTGGATATTTCAATGGCCGCTTTATTGTCTTCATGCATAATAAATGGTAAGGTGGGTTTCTTCCAAACATCAGTGATCAGATCATTGAACCATACAAGGTTATTTGCAGCTTTGGACAAACAAACATATTCCGCTTCTGTAGTAGAAGTGGCTACTAGTTCTTGTTTACCAGTATACCAGTAAACTGGACAATCATTCAATAGAAAAACATAACCAGAAGTACTCTTTCTGCATGATGTATCACCAGCCCAATCTGCATCAGCATAACAAGTAATTTTTGGTTCTCTGTCATTATTGGGTTCCAACATTAAACAAAAATCTAATGTACCCTTCAGATATCTTAGAATTCTTTTGACAGCTTCCCAATGATACAAGGTTGGTTTACTAACATATCTTGACAATAGATTGAGAGGTAATGCAATATCTGGCCTAGTCCAATTAGATATATAAAGGAGTGAACCTATAACTGATCTGTAAAATGTGTTGTCTTTAAATTCAGGGGAAGATTCATCAGTGTTTCTAAGAAAATCAGTTTGCATAGGGGTGTCACAGGTTTTAGCATTATTTAAGTTACATTTGTTTAGGAGTTCGATGATTTTATCTTTCTGTGTAAGTTTGAATCCCCTTTTAGTTTTGTTAATTTGCACACCAAGGTATTTATTCACTTTACCCAGAGATTTCAGTGAGAAGTGTTCATTTAACTTATTTACAAAGATTTCCCTGCTCTCTTTATGCTTTCCAATGTATAAAATATCGTCCACGTAAATTAATACAAATTCAATATGATCATTACTCTTTTTTACAAAGAAACAGTTATCAGCAGTGGTGGCGTTGAAATCCATGGTCTTAAGTACTTTTACCAAGCAATCGTACCATCTTTTGCCGGATTGCTTTAATCCGTACAGACTCTTATTTAATAACCAAATTTCGTTCTTATTAGTGTATTGACTGTGTGGTGCTCTTACATATATTTCCTTATCTAATTTTGCATGTAAGTATGCGGTCTGTATGTCATATTGGAATACGTCCAGATTGAGTGCAGATGCTACTACAAGGGCTGTTTTGACACTCTCAGTTCTCACTGTGGGTGAATATGTATCAGTATAGTCTTCTGGATATTTTTGTGCATAGCCTTGTGCAACTAGTCTAGCCTTGTATAAGGTATTGCCTCCTTCTAAGTTCTTAATTTTATAAATCCACCTGGTACCTATAATTGTTTTATCCTTAGGTGCTATCGCAGGTGTGAATACATTTAATCCTTGTAAACTTTCCATCTCTTTTTCCATAGCTAGTTCCCATTTTTCTCTTTCTTCATGTGGAAGTTTCAATACTTCTTCATATGTATTAGGTGTTATTTGTTCTCCATTCGTATGCATTATGTAATCTTTGTATTTATTTGGTATTTGGTTTCTATTGTTTCTAATAGTTCTTTCAGGCTTGCTATGGTTATCATGCAAATATCTAGCTTCCTTTTTTGTTAATGTGTCTGTCTTTATTTTATGCTGACTATTAGTCCAAGTTTTGGTTTTGTTCTTACTTTTGTTAATATTTTGATTTTCTGTTGTTCCTTCCTCGCAGGATATCGTATCTTTACATTTATTAGGAAATATTTCATTAAGGTGCAATTTTGACCAATTGGCCTGTTCATGGAACACAGCTGTTCTGGATACTATAAATTTGTTATTACTATCAATAAATCTGTACCCTTTGGTTCCAGTTTCGTATCCCATGAATCTTAATCTCCTGGATACGTTTTCTCCCTTTCTCCTCAATTGTTTAGGTATGTGTACGTCTGCAGTGACTCCAAATATGTGCATGTGTGATAATTTGGGTTTTCTATTGTACATCACCTCATATGGTGTCTTATTCACAATACTGGACCAGGTTCTATTTTGAGTGTAATTCGAATAATGTAATGCCTCTGACCAAAATTGTTTGCCTAAACCAGCATCCTCTAATGTGCACCTAATCATGGTTTGTAGTGTGGAATTTTTCCTCTCTGCAACTCCATTTTGAAATGCAGAAAAAGGATTGGACGTGAAATGTAACATTCCTCTATCCTTTAACCATTGGGAGAATTCTTTAGACATGAACTCACATCCCCTATCTGTCATAATTTGCTTTATTCTGATATTATGTTGTGTTTCTATACGTTTGTAGAATTCCTTAAATTTCTGAAATGTTTCATCCTTGTGCTTTAATGTGTAAACAAAACCATATCGGCTGTAGTCATCCACTATAGTTAGGAAGTAACGTTTTCTATAGGTAATTGAGGGACTTAATGGACCAACTAAGTCCATATGTACCAAATCAAAAATATTGTTAGTCGATCTGTTAGATTTTTTTGGTCTGGGACTGGTTTTTAGTTTGGTGGACTTACATACTGAGCATTCCAAATAATTTTCACAATTTTTTATTTTGACACCTTCTGCGTGTTCAGTCATTTTTTGTACTACAGGAAAGCTTGCATGTCCTAACTTCCTGTGTAAGATGTGAGCACACTCATCATGAATTGGTTTACCTATTTTCGGTTTCTTTTCCTTGTATGTATTTTTGTGATCATGAGTTATTCTACACTCATCATTGTCACTGTTACTGACATTTTCATCATCTGCTTCAATACAATCTTCCATATTTGAATCAATGTTATGTAAACATCCTTCTTTAGTTATCAGATAGGGTAGACCTCCTTTTATCATTACAGTACCTACATTTGTTTTGTTCTTTTCTATAGTTGCTTTCCCCTTTGAGAAAACTATATTGATATCAGATTCTCTGCTTAATTTTATGGCACTTAGTATGTTGTGAGGTATTTCTGGGATTAATAATACCCCCTCTATTTTCCCTAGACCAGGCAAGGTCACATTTCCTTTGCCTAGTACTTGAACCTTTTCTTGATTAGCTACCTTTATCACAAACTTATCTTCTATAAATGAAGATAATATACTTTTGTTGTTGGTGGTGTGATTTGTTGCACCAGAATCAATAAGCCAATTGTTATTCGCATCTTGCTGTGTTCTGGTGCTGTCTTGTTTATTTAGCCCATTCAGTGACCCAGATTTCCTCTCTTTTGAATTTTCTCTACCCCCTCTACCTTCTTTGTAATTTGGTGGGCTTCTATATTTGTGTCTATCTGTGGAAGATTGTCTGTAATTATATTTGCTCCTATATTCTGGTCTATGTCTCTCTCTTGAGACTTTGGGGCAGTCTCTTTACTATGTTCCCTGGATCCACAATTGTAGCATCTAAAGACCTCATTATGTTTATCTTGAAAGACTACTTTCCTAAAAGGTTTGTGGTCTGTTTGGTTACTGGATCGATTTTTTCTTGAATTGTCTTCTGCTATCAATTTGTTAGATAGACTTTCTATGGATAAATATCCCAAATTAATGGTATCTAAGTGTGACATAAAGCTATCCCATGATGGATCAAGTGAATTGATAATAACACTTTTCATTGTTTGATCTGAAATCACTTCCCCCTCAATTGTAGCTCAGCTCTTATTTTGTTTAGATTTATCAAATGCTCACTTATAGAAACCCCTGGTTTTACTCTAGAGGAAAAGAAATCCTTAGACATTCTTGTGGTTGTAGCTACGCTATCGCTGTGAAATAGATTAAACATGCATTGAATTATTTCTGATACAGTTAGGTTTGGTTTGATGCTATGATACATTGCAGGAGACACGCTAGATATTATTATGAAAAATGCTCTATGATGTAAACAATCTATTTTTAAAGTCCAAGGTCTTCTTGGAGGGCTAGTTATAAAGAATAGTAAATTTTCTTTCATGAAAATAACCTGAAGCTGTTGATACCACTCTTGTAAATTAATGCCATCAATTCTAAGTTTTGGGAAGTCACTGGGTAAGTTACCTACATTATTCTGTCCATTACTTACAACCTGGGGCAGTCCGTGATCTCTCAAGTGCAGGAAATTACAGAACGGCATTGGGATGCTTGCAATGAGTCTGCGCGGTTCTCTGGCCAGTTCAAGTCCTTCTGGGTCGTCTACGTAGTTTCGCACATGCGCGTTGCTCATTTCTTCTTTGGTGGCGTCGTGGAAGGTTCTCTCCCTTTCAGCTCTCTCGATCCGCTCCTCCTCAGATGAGTCGGTCTCTGGCTCGGTTTTTGGGGTTCTGGTGGTGGTGACGGTTCTTTTCTTCTTTTTGTGTGCGTTGGTATTCGATTTTGTCTGTGGTGTAGGGCGAAATCGGCATGGCTCTCTGGGCTCGGGCGTCGTCTCTTTCGAAGTCAGGATGGGAGCGTGCAGGTCTTGAGTCGCCGGTTTGATTTCTTGCTTCTTTGTAGATGTCTTGGTAATTTTCAGTCTTGGCCCAAAAGCAGCAAAAAGCGTTTTCATTGCTGATTTTACTTGAGATTTTGTTAAATCGTCTTCACTTTCTGATTTTGGATCATCTGAAGAGTTTGAGACTTCTTTCTCACTTTCTTCGTCTGATAGTGTTTTTCGCGCCAGAAATTTTGAACTGAGCGTTTTGATTGGCTCTGCTCCATTCTCTTTTGAAGTTCGTTGAAACCAAGATGGCTGCCATTCAAAATTTCGCGCGGGATCACATCTTTTCTTTTTAACAACTATTTTCTCAGTAGTCATCTCACTTACGATTTTTTGATCTTTGGGTTTTTCTTTAATGACGTTTTTCTCTCTCGCTGCTCCGCTGTTCTTCAGCATCTCCTGGAGGTCCGCGATGAGACTTTCATCATTCTTTTGGCTTTTTAGTATCTTTAATATCTCTGACCTGAGTTCGTTATTTTCTATTTCGATTTCTTTCTGGTCATTATTTTCACTCATTAGTTCTTCTTCTTCAGTGGTGTATTCTTCGGATTCTCTCGAAATCGCATTGGTGGATTCGTTGATCATCTCTTGATCAGTTTCTATTTCTTTGCTGTAGGCCCTGGTGTTGGGCCTATCTTTCTTGGACATTTTTAATTACTTATTGAGTCAATTAACCATCCTCTGCTACCAGCTTGTTGTAATATTTTCAGGATCAGACTCAATAAAGATAATAGAAGTTATAGCTTTAAATATATTTCTTTTTTAATTATGATAGGCATTCTATATTCACTGAATATTCAAGGTAGAAGCAACGAGAATGGTGAGGGTGGCTCCTTATATATACAAGGGGTGGAGCCAGGAATGGGAGTGGTAAGTTATGAATACATTAAAGTCCAAAGAATAAGTTAACCTCTGATGTTCTATTATATACATTATTTACACATTGGAGAATAAGGCATTTACATCTGACACTGTCTTTTGGTAGAAATGGGGAGGGGGTGTTTCGGGCTTTTCTCTCTCCTTAGTTACTCAGATACACTTAGGGTTCTTGCTTTCTGCTTCAAATATATTATAATCTGGTTAATCTGAAAAATCAGCTAAATGTTTTTGATATATGACTACTTTAGAGTAAAACATTATTTAGAATATCAGAATTAGGGACCTGAGACTCACGATGCTGTAAGAGAAGTTCCACTGAGATGAATACTTTTTAATTTTTGTAGGTGAGTTAAAAACTGTATCTTCAGAAGAAACAAGATGATAGATTTCCTATATTTTAAATATTGTGTTCCCACAATCTGATGTATTTCTATCACCTTTCAGCTATGACTGCAGCAATGTAGCTTTTGGGCAGACTGTGAATCCTTTGGATCATAAGAGAACTCCTGGGGGCTCATCTGGAGGGGAAGGGGCTCTAATTGCTGGAGGAGGTTCCATTTTAGGATTTGGATCAGATTTGGGGGGAAGTATCCGTCTACCCTCCAGCTTCTGTGGTCTTTGTGGGCTGAAGCCAACTGCAGGTAGATTGAGGTAAGTACTAAAGCTATCATAGACTATGCAGCTGATTATCACACTTTGATAAGATGTAGAATTGTAGAGTTGGAAAAGACCTCAAAAATCATCTAACAGAATAATCTGCTGGTGTTGAAATGCTGTGTTTACAAAATCTCTAAAAAAAAAAACCCAGCCATTTAATTTATGTTGAAAAACCTGTTGGAAATATTGATGATCTTGGAGAAATTATGAAATAGCTTGATCAATGTTCACAAATTTTAGTAATGATATCATGTACTCTGATTTAGACTTTCCCCTAGGAAAGGAACACTTCTTAGGGCAGGGGTGAAATCCAGCAGGTTCTAACAGGTTCTGGAGAACTGATAGCAGAAATTTTGAGTAGTTCGGAGAACCGGCAAATACCACCTCTGGTATTTTGCAATATTCTTCCCCTGAAGTGGGGTGGGAATGGAGATTTTGCAATATCCTTCCCCTGCCACGCCCACCAAGCCACCCCCACAGAACTGGTAGAGAAAAATTTTGGATTTCACTCCTGCCTTAGGGTGCTAGGAACATCCAGTATAAATTTGAGATAACATTTCTCTAGCGAATGCTTTCATTCTAAGGAAACCAAACACTAAACTTAGTTGCAGAAAAATAGTGTTTTTGCCTTAGACCTACCTATAAACATTGTAACATGTAATTCAAATATGTAATGAATCCTTCCTTCCTTTCTCCTTCCATTTATATTTCTATAAATGATGTTTCTGAAACTTGGCGACTTCAAGATGTGTGGATATTAACATATGGCTGGGAATTCTGAGTGTTGAAATCCACAGATCTTAAATTTACCAAGTCTGAGAAACATTGCTCTAAACAAAGATCATACACTGATATAAACAGATATAAGCAAAAGTGTCTTGTACAAGAACACCCACTGACATTTCTCACTGAGTGATGATTCAGTTGATAATGTCCTCCAAAAAGCTATGTGTGAATGTATGTTATGACGTGTATTGTCTGCATTTTATTTTTCTCTGTTTTACAGTGTTTCTGGAGTAAAGGAGCCTTTTCATCTTATGTTAAGTAAATATCTTTTTTGTGGAAAGTGGGAAAAGGTTGAGAGATCAGTTTTGAATGAATGTAAAAAGTGACTGTCTGAGCTGAAGAACAATGGATATTGGGTAGATAGTAATTGAAATATAAATATTAACAAGAAATGTGGAAATATAACATGATTTTTCAGAAAGAATGAATGTAGAGCAATTTAAACAAACCCATGTTGTGATCTTAATTTGGCACGTATTTTGCTTTTGATCAATAAATCCAAAACGGGATTAGCTATATGCTATTACTTGATACACATATTTATCTTCCCAAGTTTTAGCAACAATCGGACCAATGGCAAAGGATGTGGATAGTCTTGCTCTATGCATGAAGGCTCTCTTATGTGATTACATGTTCCAGCTGGATCCCACTGTGCCACCTATGCCATTCAATGAAGAGGTAATTTTTTAAAAAAAGGATATATATAGGACCTTTGGTGAACCCATAGTTGATGATTTTGACAGATATGAGATTTCTTTCAAAGAATGCCCCAAATAAAAAAGATGCCTTTATATATATGCGTGTGTGTGTGTGTGTGTGTGTGTGTGTGTTTCCTCTAGCCAGGTTTTTCCTACGTAACCAAGGTTCTTCTGTAGCCCTAGCTCAGTAGAATCATATCCACTCGATTCTGGGCTTTTTTCTTTCTGGCAGCCAGCAAGTTCTTGCTGCCAGGTGAGACACACACACACACACACACACACACACACACACACCACACACACATGCACCAGCATGCCTACCATCCCTGTCCTAATGTTTCCTCTATTTGTATCTATTTTATGTATCCAATCCATGCTTATATTTATATATTACCTAATACGTCCTTGACAAATAAAAAAGAACAATTTTGGGATTATATATCTACAAACATATATGTGAGTGAAGGATGAGTCTATTTAATTTCTCCTGGGAAAAACATTATTAATATAGCTAATAAATAGCAGTTTGAGAAAATATATCCTCCTTTGTTGTGCTTTTCAAAGCTTCTTCAACCAGAGCCATTTCTTCCATTAGGAATGTCACTAATTTGGTCAAAGATGTGCTTGATTTTTAAACATTTCACAGTAAAAAGCTGGCAACTAATAAAAGACATTAGATCAATTTCTTAATACTGCATCTACTTACGTTACATTACAAAAAAGTTAACTCACAGATTGTGAGATTTTTCAAATTTCCTCAGAAAGTTTCAGTCCAAACTACAGCTAATTGAGCACTGTCATCAAAGCTAGCAATATGCGCCAACTTGCTTACCACCCTGTCAACACCTTCCAGAAAAATCACATATTAAAATTACATTAAAATTACATTATATTTAATTAGATTAAAATTACTTCACATAAATTTCCTAATTTAAGAAGAATGTAGTGCCACCTGAGAATTATCGCCATGGTTAATTCCTGTTAATTTGCTGAAACATATTTAAAAGTCTCGTCCATTCTTCTAAGTACCCCCACCCACCCAAACCAGAGCTCATGCAACTCTGTGAGCCTCTGCATGCCAAGTTCCACTAATAGTGTGACAATCACAACAATTTGTTCATCAAAAGTGCCATCACAGAGTTCATGCTATAGCTCTTAATCCATTAATGTTAGTAACCAAGAGGTTTTTTTTTTTTCCCTTGTAGATTTATTCAAGCTCTACACCTCTACGGATTGGGTATTATGACACAGATGGCTATTTCTTGCTCCCATCGTGCATGAGAAGGGCTGTGCATAAAACCAGGAAGCTTCTGGAAGAAGCTGGCCATACAGTGTGTATCTTTGCTGCTACTGTTTACTGTACAATTTATTTGCATGTAAAATAGTCTGATACAGAATAGTCAGAGAGCTTTTTTTTTTTTAATTTGATTTATATGCCGCCCTTCTCCAGAGACTCAGGGCGGCTTACAATGCGTTAAGCAATAGCCTTCATACTTTTGTATATTTATACAAAGTCAGCTTATTGCCCCCACAAACTGGGTCCTCATTTAACCTACCTTAGAAAGGATGGAAGGCTGAGTCAACCTTGAGCCTGGTAAGATTCGAACCTGCAGAAATTGCAGGCAGCTGTGTTAATAACAGGGTGCATTAAACCACTGTACTACCAAGGCTTCTATAAGAAGGGATGGCTTTTGGCATGGCTAAGTGAAAGGCATATGTCTTTTGCTCCTTCGTGATGTTTGATAAATAGAGAAAAAAGAAAATATTGAAGGGGAATAAACTGGAAGACAATGTGGCATGGGATGTTAAATGCACCTGGCTCAGTGGTGAAATTCTCCGCTGATCGCCATCGGTTCACTGCCTGTGCATGCAAGGTGCGTGCCAGATGTGCACCCTGCATGCACATGCGCAGTGCATCCCAGACACATGCTGCGCGCACACCCATGCGCAGTCCGCACCAAACACATACTTTTGGATTTCCTGCTTTTTTTTTTCTTTTTAAAGCATTTTTAACAAATAGTTCTGGAGAACCAGTAGTTAAAAATGCTTTAAAAAGTAAAAAAAAAAAAGTTCTGAAGATCAGCTGAGCGATGCGCGATCATCGGAACTTTTTAAAAAAACTTTTAAAGCATTTTTTTTACTACCAGTTCAGGCGAACCAGCCTGAACCGGTAGCATTTCACCCCTGACCTGGCTACAGCATAAACATGACCCAGTGGCCACCATTTTCTGCTGTATCCTGATGATGCTGTCTTCATTTTATCACCTGAGACACAGTAATGTCATATTCAACTTAAACTGGCCCCTTAAGCAGCCAAGAAACTACACATTTTAGCTGTGGTGCAGAATGGTGTGCTTTCCTGACCATTCATTTGGTTGGGCCAAAATTGGCCTCTTACTGATTAACTATGAATAGCAATTGAGCAGTGGGCCTGGGCCTGGGTAGGCTTTCATGGTGAAGTTGTGCAGGCTGATGTTGACCAGGGGTTGCTGTTTCATAAGAGCACCTTGTTTTAGAAAAGCTTGATGTTACAGCTGAATGTTCATGTGGGAAGGGGGCAGTTGCAAAGTGATTGGGGAAGGAACTTTCCCATAGGAGCAAGCAAATCCACACCTATCCGCTCTTAATGGGTTGCTTTTAAACATAGGCTCAGTGCCCTTCTGAATTAGCAGAACAACCATGTTCAAAAGCATCTAAAACATCAAAAGCCCATATTTAAAAATAAAGAAAAAAAATAGCTGCCAATGGAACATGGGATATCCTGCATGTCATTGTGTAATGTTCCCTCTACAGCCACTCAGATAGATGCTGGTGGTTTAGGTGCCCTATAGCTCCTGCCCTCCCCGTCAAACCCTTGAGACCTGCAGAATCAGCTCTCAGGATGGAAGATTCAGGGGCTAAGAAACCTGATGGGGAAAGAGCCATCTCTCCTCATCCCAACTGAATGGGGTGAGAAAGGAAGGTGATCTGCCACCCTTTCCAGTTCTGACTATTTTGGGAATCCTCTCTCTGGGACTGTAGCTCTAGCAAGAACACAGTTGTCATTTTCTATTCTCTCGCCTCACCCAAGAGATATTTTCCAGGCTGATTGTGGTCTCAGTTTCCCCTCCTCCTCTTGACACTTCTCACAGCCTTGCAATTAGTTGCCAGAAGTTTGGGGAAATCCTGGAGCCACTTCTAACACTTGATTACATCCTCTGGTTTATTTTTCAAAAATACTTTGCTTTTCTCTGGTCCAAATCCAAGTCGGTTATGAAGAGTAACTGGTGGATGCTTTTTCGCCAGCTGTTGACTTGTTGACAGAGAGAAACCACCAATCCGTTTCCTTAATTTGCTCTTAATTGAACATCAGCATTTGGTGGCATCCTTCCAATGGCAGGCTAGGAAGACAGATCAGCCAGCTGGCACTTTCTTGTCAGCTGAAGATCTGGTGAATAGCACTAACAACCACAGGGAGGAGCCCTTTGTGTGTGTATGCTTGTATAGAGAAAGCCATATTGAGTGGACAAATAGCATGCAGGAAAATAGTTAATCTAGACTTGTATTTACTTGGCACCTTCGAGGTTTAACTGAAAACCCCCTTTGTTATTTGCAGCTAGTTCCTTTCAACCCACCTTCTGTGGATTATGTTATCGATGAAATTTATCTGAAAGGTATTTTTGCAGATGGAGGCTCAAGTCTTTCGGCCTTGTTGTAAGTAGTTTGTTGACAATGCTAAAGAACATTTAAAGAGCAAATAGCAAAGGGCACTACTCAATATCACTGTGTTCTCATTCAACCACAATTTAAAGTAAGGTCATTGTTTTCCAGAAGATGATGGTAGTAGTATCATCATTACCATTTGCTTTATTATATCATTGAATTAACCTTTTCTTATTAAGGGGAAAGTACATCGCTACTTTGGCTCAGTAGCTAAGATGCTGAGCTTGTCAATCGAAAGGTTGGCAGTTCAGCGTTTCGAATCCCTAGTGCTGCGTAACGGGGTGAGCTCCTATTACTTGTCCCAGCTTCTGCCAACCTAGCAGTTCGAAAGCACGTAAAAAATGCAAGTAGAGAAATAGGGACCACCTTTGGTGGGGAGGTAACAGCGTTCCGTGCGCCTTTGGCGTTTAGTCATGCCGGCCACATGACCACAGAGATGTCTTTGGACAGCGCTGGCTCTTCAGCTTTGAAACGGAGATGAGCACTGCCTTCTAGAGTCGGGAATGACTAGCACATATGTGCGGGGGGAATCTTTACCTTATATCGCTACTTGCATGAGACTGCAATTTCCACATAGTGTGCCAACTCCATATGTTTTAAGCAAATGTTGGGGGAGAAGGGCAAAGATTGCTGATCTGCTTTTCTGTTCTAGAATAGCCCTTGATAACTTTAGTGTCCAATTTCCTCTGTAAAAGTGGTCAACTTCACTTCTGGTTAGAGTAAATAATTGTGGTAAATACATTTATATACAAAGAGAGAGGATTTCCAATCTTGCTTTCCTTCTCTATTGCCTGTCAGTCAAAAAGATATAGTGGATCCAGCTTTGAAAGACCAGGTGAAAATACTTAAAATCCCAAAGTTGGTGAAGAAAGTTATGGCCAAGTTCGTCAAGATCTGCGTGAGTCTTAGATATCTTTAGCTGTGTATGGGGTCAAATTTGTGACAGAATTATTGTATTTTGGGGCATAAAAACTGAAATAAAAGTGTCTTTAAACATATTTGCATTGTGAGCAGCAGCATTGGGTGGGGGGTGGGGTGGGGGGTGGAAGGCAAAGGGATCAGACTGATGGAATTGAGAAATTACAATGCAAACCCCACACTCCTTCTGTGTTCATTGTGACATCACGTGCCCCAAAGGGGCAATATGAAGCAATGCCTCAGTACTCCAGTGAACGCCATTAACCATGGGAAACATAAACTTTAAATTGAATATATTCTGAAGAAAATGTTCCACTGATCATTTCCCTAAGGCATTCATGAAGTTCCTTTTGGTAATTAAAATGATTTGAATTGGTTGCCTATGTAAATGGCAGGTCTGCCAATTTTTATCATCCTAAATCAGGGAAAGGAAAGATAGATTGTTTTGTCTGGGTTTATTCTCAGTGACCATTGTTGGGTTTTTATCCTTTGGTAATGAATTTTTTTTTAAAAAAAGTTGTTATTTTAACATGCTATTAGCTGCTCGAAACCAAGTTCATGAGTTGGGCAGACATAAAAATGAATTTTATTGATAAATGACTAAAAGAGCAGGTGCAAAGTAGATAGTATGAGGATAGCCATCTCTCAAACTAGTAGATCTTCTGGAAGGAAGATCTTGAAGTTTCCCCAAGCAATTAAGGTGGAGTATAGTTTGCGTAGTCAAACTGCAATTTTGGACTAGAGTAGAACCGGGTTATCAAACCTTAGCTTGACTAGGTGGCTCAGTGGCTAAGACACTGAGCTTGTCGATCAGAAAGGTCGGCGGTTCAAATCCCTAGTACAGGTCTCCTGCATGAGCAGTGGGTTGGACTAGATCAATGATGGCTAACCTTTTTGCCATCGAATGCCAAAAGCGTGGGAGCATGGGGGGGGTCGCACGTGCGTGTGCCCACACCCATAATTCTATGTGCCCTGCCCATGTGCATGCGTGCACGACCCCCCCGCGCTCCCCCTGCTTTTGGTACACAATGGCACGGTGGGCCAGGTAGGCCCGTTTTTCGCCCTCCCCAGGCTCCAGCGGCTTTCTAGGAGCCTGGGGAGGGCAAAAACGGCCTTCCCCACTCCTCCGGAGGCCCTCCGGGGGCCAGAAACGGCCCATTTCCCAACTTCCAGTGGGCCTGGAAGGCCTGAAAATCAGCTGGCCGGCACATGCATGTGCGCTGGAACTGAGCTAGGGCAACACTCGCGTGCCCACAGATATGGCTCCGTGTGCCACCTGTGGCATGCATGCCATAGGTTCACCATCACTGGACTAGATGATCTCCAAGGTCCCTTCCAAGTCTGTTAGTGTTACTCCTAACTTGCGGGCCAGATGTGTCACTCGCTGGCCATGCCCACACCCGGTTTAGCAAAGGGGGAAAAAGTCCAGATACGTCATGTGATGCTGCTGTGACAATGTGAGTTTGACATCCCCTGGAGTAGGAGTTAGGTATAGTTAATTGAAGAGTTCTGGCAAAAGATCTGTATACTTCAGGACATCAGCATTTACTCTTTATTTTAGGCATTTCCCTATAGGCCATGGGTGTCAAACTTGCCACATCACATTGCCGTCACGTGACATTTCGTGACGTTTTCCCCATTTTCAGAGCTGGGGTGTGCTTGGCCTGTGCGGAATGCATCTGGCCCGTTGACCGCCAGTTTGACTCCCCTGCTATAGACCCTTCACAGGATCTCTGTATTATCAGTTCCATTCCACTTTATCTCAAAACATTTTGAAGCTGCTTATGATTGTCTATACCATCTCAAGCCTCGAAATGATGAGAGCATGCAGAGAACCTATTCATTTGAGAAACAGAGTGCAAAGAATATCAGGCAGGCAGTATCCTGTCCCAGAATGATGAAAATCTCCACTCCGTACAGAATAACAGGGTTGGAAGGGACTTTGGAGGACTTCTAGTCTTACCCCCTGCTGAAGCAGAAAGCCCTTATACCCGTGATGGTGAACCTATGGCACGTGTGCCAAGGTGGCACGTGAAGCCATATTGGTGGGCATGCGAGCGTTGCCCTACCTGAGCTCCAGCACGCATGCACGTGCTGGCCAGCTGATTTTCGGGCAGCAAATGGGCTGTTTCCAGCCTCTGGAGGGCCTCCTGGGGGGAGAGGCTGTTTTCGCCCTCCCCAGGCTCCTAGAAAGCCTCTGGAGCCTGGGGAGGGCAAAAAATGGGCCTACTGGGCCCACCGTGCCATCACATGCCAAAAGTGGGGGAGGACAGGGTGGTTGCATGCACATGCATTGGGAGGCAGGGCACATAGAATTATGGGTGTGGGCACGCATGCATACAACCACCCCTCACTCTCCCCACTTTTGGCACACGATGGCAAAAAGGTTAGCCATCACTGCCTTATACCATTTCAAACAAATCATTGTCCAATCTCTTCTTAAAAACCTCCAGTGTTGGAGCACCCACAACTTCTGGAGGCAAGTCGTTCCACTGATTAATTGTTCAAGGAAAAGAAAGCATATTTTTATTGCCCCCTTACATACTAGTAAGGGGTGGGCGGGTCAATGGGAGACGGTTGGACTGGGATACAAGGATGATGGGCATGTATGCGGGGAGCTACAGCTTGACACAGAAGTAAGACACCAGAAGGGAGACATAAATTCTCATGAATGGGAAATAGCCTATACATACTCCCTGCAGAGCTGCAGTATTAAGGGGAAAAAATGCCATTATCAATTTATCTGCCCAAATGAAGAAATAGTGAGGCTGAAGAGGTCCTGGGTTGTTTCTGAATTGTTGCAAAAACCCTACAGTTATATTGCCTCTTGTTTGCCTGTATCCCTACCAGTAGTTTGATTAGTGCTCTGATAGCCAGCAGGTCTGTCTGGTTGGACTACCTGTTCCTCAGGACTTGCACATAATAGTCTCTTTAAATTAGAGATGAAATTGCAACTGTACAGACATAACATTGTGTATCTTCACCTGACCTTACAGAACAGAGATACAGTTTTTTGAAATTCTGTATAATTTTTAAACCAAATGCAGTAGTACTAATGAATCTGGGATTTTCACTCAATGCTGTTTTCTTTCAAGTTTCCCCGAATGGCTGGGCAGCTGAATGCATTGTGCGGAGTGAGGTAATGGCAGAATTATATTCCTACACATGTGCCAAAATGAGACTTTTAGCTGATACACTATAAAAACTTTCTATTTGGCCCCTTCAATCTCTTACTGGGATTGATTTTTAGAGTTTGCACTAGACAAAAAAAGCAGTTCAGCAGTGCGGTTTTTAGGATTAATATGATTAAATTTGAGGGACGTGGTGGCTCAGTGGCTAAGACGCTGAGCTTGTCGATCGAAAGGTCAGCAGTTCAGTGGTTCGAATCCCTAGTGCCACGTAACGGGGTGAGCTCCCGTTATTTGTCCCAGCTTCTGCCAACCTAGCAGTTTGAAAGCACATAAAAAATGCAAGTAGAAAAATAGGAACCACCTTTGGTGGGGAGGTAACAGTGTTCCATGTGCCTTTGGCATTTAGTCATGCCGGCCACATGACCACGGAGACGTCTTCAGACAGCGCTGGCTCTTCAGCTTTGAAACAGAGATGAGCACCACCCCTTAAAGTCGGGAATGACTAGCACATGTGTGCAAGGGGAACCTTTACCTTTACCTATGATTAAGTTCATTACTTATGCACTGTGCCCAATTATTAATTTTTTTAAAAAAATCAGGTACTTTTTGCATTGTGATGTGCCATTTGATAATGGCAACTTAGCTATTTTATTAGATAAGATTTTGATGTTCCACCAACTATGACATAATTGATAAAATATGTGATTATCTCATTGGTTGTGTGCCATCAAGTCAGTTTCAATTCCTAGTAACCATGCAGCTAGACTTTCTCCATAACAATCTGTCCCTAACTTGGTCTTTCAGCAGTTCCAACATTGCACAGATTTTTTTTTTAATTTGATTTATATGCTGCCCTTCTCCGAAGACTTAGGGCGGCTTACAATGTGCTAAGCAATAGCCTTCATCCTTTTGTATATTTATACAAAGTCAGCTTATTGCCCCCACAACTGGGTCCTCAATTTACCTACCTTAGAGAGGATGGAAGGCTGAGTCAACCTTGAGCCTTGATGAGATTCGAACCTGCAGTAATTGCAGGCAGCTGGTCTTAATAACAGGGTGCTTTAGACCACTGTACTACAAGGCTCTTTGTCATTGTAACTGAGTCCATTCATCTAGTTATCCTCTTCTTTTTTTCCTTCCACTTTTCCCAGCATTATAGCCTTTGCCAGGTTTCTCATAACATGTCTGAAATAGGATAATCTGAGCCTGGTTATTTGTACCTCTAATGAGAACTCTAGATTGATTAGTTTGATAATCCATTGGTTTGGGTTTTTTGGGCTGTGCACAGTATCCTCAAGAGTTTTCTCCAACATCAGAGCTCAAAAGCATCAATATTCTTCTTATCCTGCTTCTTCAAAATGATGATCCATATGGCCCCAGATTAGACTTGTTTCAGGCACACACATGATCATCTTGATTATTCAGCAGAATTGCAATCTGTTATATTTTAAGAAGGTTCGGCTTACATGTTACATATTCTGTCTTTCAGGAATGCGAAGGACCTATGGGAGATCCATAATGAATTGATGGTAAAAGCATTTGTTGTAATAATAAAATTTAAAAATCAAATCTTATTCTGTCCTTCCGATAAGATAGATCATGTTGATTGTATTTTACCTATCTGGCAATAACCTTTGCTAGCTTTCAACACATTTTAAACTACTCAGCTATACTTTATCAAGCCTAGATTTTGTTGGATATTAACAACTATTGCTGTTTCGGCTCAGGTCTATCAGAAAAAGTTTATTGAGCATTGGAGAAAAAACAAGATTGATGTTGTCCTGTGTCCAGTTCTGGGTCCTGCCTTCTTTCTTGGATATCCTTCAAAAATACTTGGTAAGCCTTACTGTGGCATAATGTATACCTTTTCATCACATTAAAAAATATCAAGTTTCAGGAACCAACAATAATTAAGCACAGGTAGATTAACTAGGGTTGCTTCCAAAAAGAGTGGTTTTGCCATTCTCTTAGCAGAATAATATTAATGATCAGAATGATCTAGAAATTTTCCCAATTCTTATATGGGAATATACTACCGTGTTTCCCCAAAAATAAGACCCTGTCTTATATTTTTTTTAACCCTGAAATAAGCACTTGGCCTTATTGCCATGAGCTCAAAAGCTTGATTGGGCTTATTATTGGGATGTCTTATTTTGGGGCAAACAGGGTAGCTTACATGTAATTCTCACAGAGAGATTGAAATCTGGTTCCATGGGAACCATGAGATGACTAGTATAGCTGACCACATTGTCCACTGTACACTTTCAAAACCAAGAAAAATGGAATAGAGTCCAATTTTAGAAAGTTGGTCAATTCTACCTTACATAACTGAATTATGCCAGTAGAAGGGTTTGAGAAGGGGGCTCCAAGGGGAGGGGAGAAGGTTTCTATTTTCATCTAACTCTTTATTCTGTGTGTTTACCTTGCTAGGTGCTATCTCTAATACCATGCTGTACAATGCTTTGAACTTCCCTGCTGGAGTTGTACCAGTCACCACAGTTACAGAAGCAGATGAAAAAGAGATGGCACAACACCAGGGAATCTATGGCGATTCCTGGGATAGGACCCTGAAAAAGGTTTGTATGAACTCAGGAGAGCTGTTACAGAAATGTCTGTGGATCAATAATATTTGAGATCTTTTGATTTCACAAAAGAATTAATATTAGTTTTTGAAAATAATCTGCTACTATTGGATAGATAAATAAGGTTAACTAACCTTTCCTAAATTCTAATGAATTAATGTATTACTACCCAAAACTGCTAACAATAGAGTTTAAATTAAGGATATGTATGATCTAATATCATCTTATTTAGTACTTCTTTTATAAGTAATCTTCCCAAAAGGAGATGACTATCTAGAATAATATACATGAGGACACTATGGCATGAAAAGATATAATACCATATAGTACAACTGTAGAAGATGCCTTACCCCAAAGTGGGGGTGGGTCAAACACACCATCAGTCTTGAATCCCTTCATTCCCTCAAGAGTCCAGCCCATCTTGAGTTCCATTGACTTTTATCTGCCACCAATTTGCTTTGACTGTTAGTAGTTCAGATTCTTGTAGACAACTTAAACGTGCAATAAGCTTTTATATTCATTCGAACTGCCTGGATTTCCTGATTTTCCCAGCGCTTGTCAACCACTAAACATTTGTGATGATTGTAGATATTTTTCTTGCACAAGTAGATGAACTATATTGCTTCTAAAGTAGAAGTAGACCTTCTCTTACTGGAGTTTGGCAAAAACAATAATTTGAGCATATTATCAGACATTGACTTAATATTGCTGAAAAATATTGGCAAAAAGCAGGGGTGTCAAACTCAAGGCTCGTGGGCTGGACCCAGCCCCCGGGGATCAAAACTGGCCTGGGGGCTGGCCTGGAAATATCAAAGAATCAGCCTGCAGTGCCTCTGCCAGCCAAAACAGTTCATGGGGGAACTGCATATGGCCTCTGCTGTTAGATATTGCATTATCATATTATTTATGCTATTGTATTTTTATTATTAGTTGAATAATAAAAATACAATAATATAAATAGCTTTTCTGCCTGGAAAAGTAATTTACTATTAAACAATGGGGTATAAATTTAGAAATAAAAAGTTTAGTGGAGTATGAAGAATAAGTAATAAATGTTTGCCAGTAATATTTGGTAGAAGAGATAGGAAAATGGTTATAGTAAAGAATTGTGGAAAGAAAGAAGAGAAAACAATGCATCTTGAGCTTATGTCAAATGCCTACTATGGCCAGGCCCACCCCAGCCACGCCCACCATGACTACCACCAGCCCGGCCCTCCGAGGTCAAACACAACCCTGACGCGACCCTCAATGAAATCGAGTTTGACACCCCTGGCATACAGTATTGATCCTGAGTTGCAAAAATGTCATCAATCTAGATCAGGGCTGTCAAACTCCCGGCCTGCAGACCGGATGAGTCATGCGCTGGCCACGCCCACGCGCGATTTTGCAAAGGAGAAAATAATCCCAATATATCATGTGATGCTGCCGTGACAACATAAGTTTGACACCCCTGATCTAGATAAAGAACAATTATTGTGAAAAAATTCAGAGGAAAGCTACAAAGAGACTTTTTTTGGAGCAAATCTGTTTTCAGCTATAGAATATATGGATTGAAAATTGTTATCTTGTTTTTAAGAGAGGGAAAAAAAATCAAGCAAGTTGAGAATTGGAAGGAAAGAAAGGCTTAATCTAAGAATCCAGGATTATAACCATTATGTTTTAGGGAAGGATATTTTTCTATATTTCTCCCAAGGCCAGGATTAAATCTTGGCAAAAAATGAATTGCATCCGTTTTAAATAGATCTAATGAATTTGAGGGGGTGGCGGGGGGCAGCAAATATTTGGTTAACAGTTTACCTATCCTGGTTATTAAACTAAAGATGGTTGCTTAAGGTTAAGAGTGAGTGTAAATTTTCACTTTTCTGTGAAGGCACTTAAGTCTTTTATCTCTTATATTTTACATCTTTGGGATGATTGGCTTCCAAGACAGCAGTTGTATGAAGGCATACAAGAGAAAGAATCACATGGTGCAAATAGTTTTATTAATAGTCTCAATTAGGACTCTGAGAAATAAAGGTTGCAGTCCTTTGAAAACTTACCTGAGACAAGAAACATATTTCAAGGATACTTGCTCAAGACCACTTTGCAACATTCAAAAATGTTTGGACCTTTGGACCTGAGCTATCTGAATGTTTTTGCTTATTTCACTATCTCTTTCAGGCAGTAGAAGGTGCTGTTGGGCTTCCTGTGGCAGTTCAATGTGTAGCTTTACCATGGCAGGAGGAATTATGTCTTCGGTTCATGAAAGAAGTCGAGATGCTGTCCAACAAAGAACAGCATAAGAAAGTCATCTGAACCTGATAAGCAATTTGGCAGATCAAGAATGCATCTGGACTTATAAAAATGATAGAATATCAAGGAATCTCTGACACAAGTTTGATCCCAGAATATTCATTGTTCTGTCAAAGGGGTCACCTTTTGTATGAATTATCCACCACTGCAAATTGTTGTAAAACACTGGTCCTCTTTTTTTGTACTTTATTTGCCCAATTGAGGCATTTCTCTTTCTACTCATTCACCTTTATGGGAGATGGCTGGGTGGACATTCATGCTTTCTGTCTTCTACCATATTCCCATCCTTCATTTGCACTGCATAGAAAAAATAGTGAAATTAGAAGACTTTCCTTGCAATATAAAGTATACCAAGATCAAATTGTACATTGGTTAGAAGTCTTTGCTTGATTTGTGTAGGCTCCTTAAATAATTGAGAACCCAGACAGTCAATGGTCCTAAGTTAGAGAGGGAGACTATATGAGTTCAGAAGGTTTCACTTCAATAATTTTTTTCTTCTGACCAATAGAGGGGATCTTCTCTCAGTTAGTTGTACAAGCACAAGGTTCAACACTGCTACAGTATGTGTTGTTATTTGTGGAAAACCTGGTGTTCTCTTGGTTGTTTGCTTCCAGACATTTCATTACCTGACTAGGTAACATCATCAGTGATAGTGAATGTGAGATCTGCCTCCTGTTATGCAGTGTAGAGTAGCTTTTCCTCCTAGTGTTGGTGGAGTATGGTTTTCTCTCTGGTAGTTCTTTGATTAGGGTATTGTTTTCTCCTTGATTGTTTGTGAGGTGTTAATCCTTGCTTATTTGGGGGTAAGCTGCTAGAAAGGATGTATTCTGGTCTTTTTGTTTCCTTATTAGTTTTTTGAATGGTATGTAAAATTGGTTTATCACTTTGTGTCCATTGATGGCTGATTTGGCTGAATGGCAGGCTTCCAGGAATTCAGTAGCATTTTGGAGGTTTTAAATTTGGGGTAATATCACTTCTACTGAATGACTGAAAAACTCATGTTCCAATTCCAATACACTACCAATCACCCTCACTAATATTAAGTGCAAGGGTTCAATCCAGTTATTGACTTGGAATATTGCTGGCTGGAAGAACAAAGTATCAGATGGAGACTGGTGAAGTTCTTCTTTAATCTTGACATCATAGCACTTCCAGGACTACAAATAAGGAAACGATTAATTTTGATCCTGGTGTATTCCTGCAAGGTTATAGAATGGATATCAGGAGGACTGACTACACTTGCCAAGACAGAGTTGGGTTTAGCAAGGACTGGAATTAGTTCTTGTAGATAACTTTCCCAATTATTTAGAATAAAAATTTCATATAAATCCTCTGAAATATTTCTACTGAATATATCCGCCACCCCATGTGCCTCCTCACTGTTTTCCTAATATTTGGGTGAATCTAGAAAAGGTAGGTGATGCGGTCGCTTAGCAGCTAAGACACTGAACTTGACGATTGAAAGGCTCAGTTCAGTGGTTCGAATCCCTAGTGCCGCGTAATGGGGTGAGCTCCCGTTACTTGTCCCAGCTTCTGCCAACCTAGCAGTTTGAAAGCACGTAAAAAATGCAAGTAGAAAACTAGGGACCACCTTTGGTGGGAAGGTAACAGTGTTCTGTGCGCCTTTGGCATTTAGTCATGCCGGCCACATGACCACGCAGACGCCTTCGGAGAGCACTGGCTCTTCGGTTTTGAAACGGAGATGAGCACCGCCCCCTAGAGTTGGGAATGACTAGCGCATATGTGCGAGGGGAACCTACACCTTCACAGAAAAGGCAGTGTTAAAGATAAAGTCAAATCATCCTAAAACTATGTAATTCTAGCAGGAGATTTAAGTGTCAAGGTGTGGGCCCTCTTACACAATTTTGTACAACTGGGTGTTATTCCTGCGGATTATTTTATAAACGATCTGCCCTGGTTTTCTAGAGACCCCAAATGAAATACAGCAGATTGAGAACTGGTGTCCTTGATCTATAAATGTAACTCCATATTTTAGGAGGCAAAGAACCTGGTTTTATATACCCCTTTACATATCATTCATGGTTTTAGATTATATGTGTTTACATGAAACAAGATTGGGCTGTCTTCAGATATCTAAGTACATGTGAGGGAGATACAAATCATAAACCATAGTCCATTTCCAAACCAGATCTGATACTAGTTTATCTGCATCTCATCTTAAAGACTATTAGCTAATCTCAAAGTCAGGCAGTATAAAAGGCTCAATTGGGCCAAAGAAGACACTAACGCAACATCAATCTTTCTGAACACTGAACAGACTCAGACTTGGAGAAACTCAATTTCCTTCTGTATCCAAGGTCTGAATAAAATTCTAACTCATTATATAGATATGTGTGAATTTCACTGAGAAAAAATTTAACAGATAAACTTTCTACTAGAAACTGACAGCAAATAAGTTCAACTTGAGGTTATTCTGTTTACAGCAATGCACTAGCCCTAGAGAGCCCTACCATTAAAAAAAAAAAAACTATGCTAAAATGTTAAAAATTACATGTGATTACAAGAAATTGATAGCCTCTGAAGAAGCTTCTTTCATGGGCAAAATATGGCCAGATCTGGAATTTTCAGCAAAAAAGACAAATTCAATTTCCTTTTGGAATATTTCATCAGGTCCATTGAAGTAACATAAATTCTAATTTCCATTCCAGTTTGGGAGGATTTTTATGCACTATTCCTAACCAGAGCCTCCTGTTTTATTTACTGTTCCTAATCAGGGCCTCTCACGTAAGCAAATTACTGATAAACCTTTGAAAACCTTTCTCCTTGGTCAGGCAGGCAGGTAGGCAGATGGTTATCCAATCTCTTCTGAAAAACTTCCAGTGTTGGAGCATTCTGGAGACAAGTTATTCCACTGATTAATTATCAAGAAATTTATCCTTAGTTCTAGGTTGCTTCTCTCCTTGATTAGCTTCTACCCATTGCTTTTTGTCCTGCCCTCAGGTGCTTTGGAGAATAGCTTGACTCCCTCTTCTTGTGGCAGCCCCTGAGATATTGGAACATTGCTATCTTTTCATTAAACTAGACATGGTCTCCGGTGTTAGTTTCAGAAATCAAATTTATTATTCATTCACTGAAATCTATTGGCTCCTGGAGAAGATTTTCTACCCCTACAACTCTTTAAGACACATTGATTGGTGGCCCTATTGTTAGCAAGGCTGTTTTCCCCTATAAATAATTTGGGTTGAACATCATGAAGGACTTGCTCAATCTAGATCTTTCCTGGGGCAAAGACACTCTCTTTATGCACATTATAGTAGTCTTACTGCAGCAAAGCCCATTATCTTTGAATCAGAATGCAGATTTGGTCAAGTGCAAGAGGCATCATATTGTCATATTGATCTAAACTGAAGTACTGTAGCTGAAAAGCTTGGATAGCAACGCTGACTTGCCTTTTGCTCTATTTTGAGATTAGTACCAGGTATCTGTTCATCTAGGGTATAGAAGTCAATGAAAGTGATACGTGTAGTTTATATTGATTGACATGGTGAGAGTTGAAATCCACCATTAGATGGCACCAAAATGGAGAAAGCTACACTATATTGCTTGTCAATCTCAAAGAATTCCTTTTTAGTAGAAAACAAGGGGCAGCAGTTCAAAAATATACAAGCTCTGCTATTTTGCATCAAAGTGATTTGAACTGTGGCTTGCTACACTATCCAATGTTTGGAGGCCACACATGAGATTAGGCTTTGATGCAGCTTTGCATTTAATGTGTGTGTTAAAAGAGGAGGGGGAATTTATTTCCTTTTGCTGCCTTTTAAAGGCTAAAAACTCATATTCTAGCTATTGTTTTACACAGCTGAATGCCGATAATTCTATTGGCAATTGTGAGTGATTACTGCATTATGTGTACTCAGAAAAACTTATTGTTTTGGATGCTAAAAGAATTAATGATACATAAAACTATGCTATTATTGGCTGCATTCATCAGCAGAAATGTGTTGTGCAGCATCACTGCTCTGTGTTTACCCCAATCTCTCCCCTCCAAAGAATACAAGAGATGGGTGGAGACAATTTATTGTAGAACATTTACATACATGTCATTTACTTTCGGAAAAACTTATTGATGCTGAAGTTGATTATCCCACAAACCCAAGGGAGGCTGGTTCATCCCTTGCCTTAAAACCAGAGCAAATAGACTCATTCTCTTTGGGGTTGAAGTATATTTTGTATATACTAATAAAGCACTGTTGTGGCCCATACGCGACCTGTGTGGCTGGTGGCTGATTTGGACAGCGAGGAGGCTGGTGTGGTACTGCACCAGCAGCCTATGCAGCTGGCACTCGAATCGGACAATGAGGCTGGAGAAGATGTGGTTCCAGAGGCGGGGATTCAGCCAGGGCCTTCAGAACCTCCAGAAGCTCCCTTAAGTGAAGAGGACGAAGAGGAGGAACCTCTTTGCGATGCATGGGCACGCAGAGCTGCCAAAAGACAGGAGTGGCTCCTCAGAAGGAGGTCACCTCGAGAGTAAGGCTTGGGGCTAATTGGCCACTCCCTTAGCCTATTTAAGGAGGAACGCCGACTGAAGCAATTTGCAGGGAACAACTTCGTTCACTCTCCTTCGTGCCTTGATCTTAGTTCTTGCAAATTGCTTCTGGCCTTTCTGTCAACCGTAGTAAGATTAAGATTATTTATTCTTCGGATTCTTGTAGGCTGTTAAGAAAGTTAATTAACAACCTTTGTTTGAAAAAAAAATCTGATTTAATTTAGTAAACTAAGGTTTGTACAGACTTTGTGTGTGCTGCGTTCTTTGGGGTCCGTAGCTGGGGCAGAACAAGCACAAGTGAAAAGGAGAATCTAATTTAGGACTTTAAAATGGAAGGCTGATTGAGATGCGGAGGAGGAGGAGGAGGAGGAGGAGGAGAAGAGGAAGAGGAAGAGGAAGAGGAAGAGGAAGAGGAAGAGGAAGAAGATTCTCCACAATAAAGGTGAGGGTGAAGATTGGTTTTCAAATACTTTTCATGTATACCCAAACAATGCAAAGTATTTCAATAGCTGGATGGATAGCATAGTACTATTCATTTCTTACCCTGCTTAGCTAGTTCAAGACCAGTGAAGATCAGCAGCGTAAGAACAATCAGCATATCTGTATCCTACATATTTATCTTTTCCTCTTTCTGACACCTCACAAATAATTCAGTGACAACTTCTGAAAGAGCTCTGAGAACCTGTGCTTCTCAGAGCTCTTTCAGAAGTTGTCACTGAATTATTATTCTCAATCTTGACATCCTGAAGATACGTGGACTTCAACTCCCAGAATTCCCTCGCCAGCGGATGGGTAGGGGATCCTGGAAATTCTAGCTGGGGAATTCTGAAAATTGACGTCCACACATCTTCAAGTTGCCAAGGTTGAGAAACACTGCTATATGAGTGCCATGTGCTTGCATATTTATTCCATTCTCACAGTGTCTATATCAGTGATGGGTTGCCCCCGGTTCGGACTGGTTTGCAAGAACCGGTAGTAAAACCAGTGGGAAGCCCCACCCACCACCCCGGATGTCATCATCGGTGATCTGCGCATGTGCAGAAGCAAGGTGCATGCACAGAAGCAAGGCACACGCGCAAGCGAAGTGATCACACACGCACGATCCCATTGCAAACCGATAGTAAAGGTAAATAGAACCCACCCTTGGTCTATATGCATGCAACCAAAGATTAAACAAATAAACATTTCAGGGATAAACACAGAGCCATTCTATTTTTTTCTCATTCATATACAGAAAGCTCAGCTAGATGGCAGCAGACTAGCAAGTATTATTTGACCACTTCAGTCATTTGATTTCACATACCCAGAAAATACAGTTTGAGGTTTTTTTAAAGAGAGAGAGAGGGAGAGAGAGAGAGAGAGAAAGAAAGAATGAAAGAAAGAAAGAGAGAGAGAGAGAGAGAGAGAGAGAAAGAAAGAAAGAGAGAAAGAGAAAGAGAAAAAATGGACTCAGAGGCAAACTTGAGTTTCTGATATGAAATATAAATCATGCTGTTACTGTTCTAAATATTGCTGCCAAACTTCAAATGAGCTGTAAATAAAAAGAGACTATCTAGAACTATGGATCTCGTTTGATTTGGATTTTTTTGGAAGGGAAGAAAAGCCTTCCTGAATGAGTTTGATACCTATGGGGGAAAAAATAGATAGCACTTGAATTACATTATTTTTTTATATAGATTGACACGGCTTCCAGTCTAAACATTCCCTGCTTAAATAAAATTGGTATAGGTTGCAAGGTTGGCCAGGTTTAGAGAAAAAGAGCTCATACTTGCTACTACTCAGAGTTGCGTGCAAATCAGACTTGTTTGAAATTATCCATCAAAATAGTGGGCGCGCTAAGAAAAGAAGAAAATTAGCAATTTCTCCCATGGGGGACTCTTCCTGCATAGTAACTGGAGCATCATTACTGAAAAAGCTCATTGGCAGGAGTTCCTTTGTGATATTTTTGCTTGACATTTAGTGGAATTGTGGGAAACCAAGTGGAGTAAAAGACACAATACTGTCACATCTGGGTTTATATCAAAATAAATGCATGAACAACATACTTCCCACTATTAAACTTTTTCCAAAATCCTCTTCTTTGGGGGGAAAAAAATTAAAAGCTAAATTTTCTTTCCGTGAGTTGAATAAAAACTGGTAGAAAGAGAAAATCCAGGAAATGTTTTTGTGCCTGGCACTAGAATAAATTTTCTTTGCATAGGTGTTTGAGTCTTAAATCCAACCAGGGGATGAAACTTTATCTTTTGTAGGACTTGAGTGAAGGCTTGGTCATTCCAGCAATTCGGAAGAATGATGCTCTCTACTTTCTTAGAGCACATCAGTGAGCCCAGATGGTGGAGGTAGTGCTTTGAAATTGGTAGAGAGTAATAGCCAATGCTAGTTTTTTTAAAATACTGTTCTGCTGATAGTTTATGAGGATGAAAACCTGAGTAGATCCCTTTCTCCTGTAACTTTAGAGGGATCTACTTCATATTTTCCATATTTTGTATGGAAAAAGTGGATATTATGCTATCTGACTAAGGTAAGATGGACAGTTAGGCATCTCTAGAAAGGAGGGCATTACCAAAAGAAGAGAGTACCAGTTGTCATGTATCTGAATTTTGATCACATGATTATGGGAATGCTGCAAAGGTTGTGACTGTGAAAAACAGTTACAAGTCACTTTTTTCAGTACTGTTAACTTTGAACGGTCACTAAATGAAGTCAAGGACTATCTGTACTTTTTGTCTATTTATACATTAGCATATATGAAAACAATTGTTGTATTTGGATAGAAATGCCATACAGTTAATTACAGAGGAGTAGCAGGATTGGATATCCCTTAGGACAGTGATGGCTAACCTTTTTGCCATCGCGTGCCAAAAGCAGGGGACTGCTGGAGGGTTGTGCGTGTGCGGGTCACACCCATAATTCTATCCACCCCACCCCATGCATGCGTGCGTGACCCCCCCACGCTTCCCTCACTTTTGGCACGTGATGGCACGGTGGGCCGGGTAGGCCCATTTTTCGCCCTCCACAGGTTCCAGAGCCTTTCTAGGAGCCTGGGGAGGGTGAAAACAGCCTTCCCCACCTCCCTTGGAGGCCCTCCGGAGGCCAGAAACAGCCTGTTTGCTGACTTCCAGTGGGCCCAGAAGGCCTGAAAATCAGCTGGCCGGTGCACACATGTGCGCCGGAGCTGACCTCGCAAGCCCACTGATATGGTTCCACGTGCCACCTGTGGCACATGTGCTGTAGGTTCGCCATCATGGCCTTAGGATAAAGGACTATCTCCTGATTTACCTGTTTTAAACCCTGCATTGAGTTTTGCAACTCAGAAGTGTCCTCTTATTAAAGATACGAAGAATGGCTGTTTGTGTGTAGTGTTGTTTCAAATTCACTTTCTGAGTTGTTAAAAGCCCAATTTCAGAAAACAATCTGATTTTTTTTTAAAAAAAGAAAAAATGCAACTGTTGTGTTCCAAATAAAAATGGACAAACCCCAGGAGCTTTAGGAACGAAAATAAGCACTCCTTTTCTGCAGCCAAATGGTGTGATTAGACTGGGAATTGTCAATATCTGGTTGTAAAAATGCTGATGTGTCGGAGACAATCAGCTTTGCGCGACCTTGTAATATCTCATTTTATCCACGCCACGCTTTATTAAATTCTCATAAACCTGTCAATGGGGACAGGCATCATTTCACTCTACCCCATTAGTTCAATGCAGCAGCAACAGGGAAAAAAAATAAAAATAAGAAGTAAAAATAGAGAATGAGTTGGGGGGGGGAGAGAGAGAGAATAAGAGAGAGAGAGAGAGAGAGAAACCCACCCATTTGCATCTCCCCATCCACACACAATATGTAACCCAGTATCGCTCCAATAATGTTATAATGGTGGTGCCCTGAGAAAGTAATTGAATTAAGTGGCTTTTGTTAATGGTTTTAAGATTTGAAAGTGTAAATAACAGTTAGGGCTCTTTAATGGACTTTTTTTCAGTTTAGGTAGCCATGGCCCAGCACATTAGAAATGCTTTTGCTGTCAATATTATAGCAGATTCTTTTGTTACTGCTCCAGCTTCATGCCTGCAAAGCATATTTTGCCATTTTAAAGCTGAGGGTGTTTATCATCCATCCTTTCTCACTTCAGACGGAGCTTAATTCGGGAAGCATTTGCATGAGCTGCTCTCATTCAGTTCCCTATCACTTATTCTCACCGCTGGGAATAAAGTCTTATTCCTGCTGTAGCTGCTTTGGAGAACTTCCTGATTTAGGGGTCATGCCACTCAAAAGCCCCACGTCCTATTTACATGTTCATTATTCAATGGGATGCAGAGCTGCTGTCCTCATTTCCCAAGATGGAAGGGAGGAGTAGGTTGCCAAGGGGAGTAAAGCTATAGCTCCTAAAAGGGGACCCGATAGGGAAAAAGACGTGTGGGGCTTCATGCCCCCTCCCCAATCTTTTTTCCTTCCTTGACAGGTATGATGAGCCGAGAGATTTAAAATGTCTTTCAGGGGAACTCTCTCTGCTTAACATATTATTGGATTTCCATTTAAGAGCCTATCAAAATAGAGACTAAAGTCGGTGGCAAAGCTGGCTAAGCCACATAGGCAAGCATCTTACCTTTGCCTGCAAGATACAGCTTTATGAAACTCTCAGCGAGCAGCAAAATGCTTAGCAAGCATTGATTGATGAAAATAATGTTCTTCCAAAAGAAGAGAAGCCTAATTTAGCCCTCTGGAACCGATCCTGGATTTCAGAGAAGGACTGGAAACTGGAAGAATTGAGCTGTAGCCTAATTCAAGCCCTGTTTCAATTGCCTTCAAAGTTGATCAGTTCGGTTATAGTACCTGTACTTTGCTGTCAAAAGCAAACATCGCTATTAGAAACTGTTGCATCATTTTATCAAATTGTTTTATCCTAGCTTAATTAGCAGTAATAATTAGCAAACTATTTATAATTTCAACAGATCATATATTTTTGGGTTCCTTATAAAGAATCCATGACTTCATGGATTTACTTAGTGTGATCCATATGGGTTGGGTATTTTTTATGTATCTAGCCTGACAATTCATACACACACACACACACACACACACACACACACACACACACACAATTTATATTTCATTGATAAAGAAATAAAGGGAGACTAGTACAGATGTATTTCAAGGTCTCATCAGCTAGCCATATCCTTACTTGGATTCAAACTTGGGCTGCCTGCATGTTAGGCAATTGTATTAATCTCTGAGCCACAAGTTCTCTTCCCTT